CAAATTTCACCGACTATCACACGACATCTGTTACACGTTTGCGGTTTAATTGTTCGCAATAAACTTGATATTCAAATAGATCATGGTGACCGCGTTGTTTTAGAACATATTACGGGTAAAGATTGTCCAAAGAAAGATATAAAATTTACGCTCGTAGAAGATCTACGCATTCTGGGTTATATTCGGAAAGCTGTTAGACAACTGGAGCTGATCAAGAAAACGCATACAAAAGAAAATGGGCAAGAAGTCAAGCGGTTAGCGTTGATCGACGCAAATAAATTTAACAGTTTGATGGACATGCTTACAAAAAATAATGCACGAGATGAGATATTGAATAATGCAAAACGAAGCAGCGAAGAGGCTGGTCTTATTGAAAGTCGTCAGGAAGTTAAAAAATCTGTTAGAGATAAATCTTCCACGGCCGGCAACGACATCATTAATTATCTAAGAAAAACGGATAGTTATCGAAAATCGATCGGTCTTGATCAAGCTGTAGATGATGATACTGTGGCACCGAAAAATAATCCTGTACCCGTGACGGCCGGTGCGTCGGGTGCGGGTCATAAACCCGGCACAGTTGCTGCATCGGCAGCAAAAATAGAGCAACATTTCCAAAAACACAATGTAAAACCTACTGCTCAAGGCATTCGATATGGTAGCAATGATTTGAATATATCCTATCAGGATATGTTGGAAGATTTAACACGAAACTACGTACAAACTCAACCCAATTTAAACGACCATAGCCGGCGTCGTGTGTTACTGTTATTAAAAAAAACAAATATGCCCATTTCATATATTCGAAATAAAACCATTAAAGAACAGTACAAACAAATGTTGAGTCAAAGTGGACAAGCTAGCAAACCGGGACCTTCAGCTATCCCCACCCCCATAGCAAAAAGTAAAGGGAAACAGAGAAAAGCAAGAGGGTATCTTTCAGATTAAATGACGTCGTTAATCTGTTTTATAAGTAAATTTTTAAACACAGACGACATTGATAAATTGGCTCGTGAAAATTCTGTTATCAATACCTATTATCTGGGATGTTATCCTGCAAATATATATCCAAAAAATATCAAAAATCAATGCTGTTGGGTGTGGAATACCGACGAGGACGATAAACCCGGCACACATTGGGTGTGTGTTGTAAAAGACCGTCAAGATATTATATTTTTTGATAGTTTTGGCAAAACTCCTCGTTTTTTCGGTCGTAAATACTGGTTGGATTATTTTCGTAGTTTACATTGTAACTTTTCTGTATATATGCAGTTACAACGTCAATCGTATATTAGCAAAACCTGTGGGGCATGGTGTTTATTATTTTTACATAGTTTCTATAATAACGTGGATATTATCGACGAATTTTCTGTTAGACAAGAGGAACTTTTAGAAAATGAAAGCAAATTAAAACAGTTAGTATATGCTAAATACCCCAACATGTTTAATATGTATAAGAGGAAATGTAATAAGGGTGGGGGTCAAATTTGTAAAACATATTTAGAAGCATTTCAACAATACATGTAAAATTTTTTATTAATAAATTTATACAAATTGTTTTTCTGTATTGTAAATTATTGTACATTCATTGGGCAATATACCCGTTCGAACACGTGCATTGGCCAGTGAATGAGGGCATCCGTCAAACAACACATAACCGTATTGTTTTTTACCCACATCTGCCAATATTTTGCGTATTGTCGGTAGACGGATGCCTTTATTTCGTGCAACCAATTCGATATCTCGAGTATCAGTGTGATTATTAAAAAAAAGATGATACATGCTATTCGTACGCATACTTCGTAATTTTCCATTTCCATAATTTAAAGTCTGACACACAAAAAATATAGAGAGATTTAAATGATGGCTGTCACGTACCGCTAAATTGTTCAAATTTTCAGTACCCTCCCTAGTTGACAATGCTAAGATCATTAGATCGTCGAGAACAAGTAGGGTGCGTTCACCCAACAACGGTCTTATATCCTCTATCGTGGGTATACCTAATCGTGCACAGTCGTAAAACTCACAATGTTTAAGTGCAGATGTTTCATGGTTTGCGGCCACATAATCTGTAATCTCGCCATATACTGCTTGTTCAGCCGTGTATAAGTACAGTAGTTTGTCAGGTGTCGGTGTAATCATTTCGTCAATGTTTTTTATTATGTCAACCATTACGCTTGTTTTACCCGATTGCGTCGGCCCACATATTGTCATCACAAAGGGATGTTGAAAGGGTAATGTTACATTGTGCATACAATGCTGATTTGTTTCGTTTTTCTAAAAAAGTATAAAAAATCATAACCGATAACCGAAAGGTGTTGTTGCAAAATTTTCATGCACAACCCGCTTATCAAAAGTAAATTTAAATTTTTTTGTATTTTGTTGTACCGAAATACTCTGCGTATTTTCACGCGTAAATTCCCGATAAGTAATTTCAATTTCTTTAGTAGGATCCTCTATGCATTCCCGAATACTATCGAATGTTAGTAATTTTTTGACAGACCCTTTTAACGAAAAGCCTTTAACATGCACAATTCTATCAACATCTACCGCAGAGATTCCACGAGATACTACGCATGCGCACAGCTGGTCATTCTACTATGCACACTCCGCCATTACATGGCGTGGTTGGTCATACATAAACATAATCCTTAGTCAATGAATGACATCTAGCGAAGACGAACTGTTTTAAATATATAAGTAATAAGGGAAAACATCAGTTAATAAACCACCGAGTTTGCGAGGCAAACTCTTTGTTGTGGTTGCAGCTATTCGCTCATAAACATGGCAGCATCGAATGATGTTTTGGACGACATGCTAGCCGAAGCTGCACTTCTTTCAGAGCCAGACCCTGACTCGGCGCAGCCGAGAACATCAGGGGAACTCACAGAAATTGAGCAACCGAGAGCAAAACGGGCCCGTACGTCGGGAAAAACGGGGAAAGCTGGCGCTGCCAGTGTAATAAAACCCGTTCACGCCATCAGCAGTGATGTTGTCACCGAGGCTGAAAATGGCGCCAAAGTCACTCTAGAGGAGCTCAGTCATAAAGTTACTCAACTCGCTGAGATAATCAACTCCTTTGCTCCAGTAGTGAAAGAACTCAAAGGTGCTTATGATACTGCGCAACAACAGGACGGCGCTAGTGTTTCTGAAGGGGAAATCGAGGATGACCTTCTGAATGACGAAGCAACTGACTCGCTCCCTGCCAGCCAAAACGGTGCGCTGGTAGACGACCTTGTCCACGAAGTGACTGAAAGTGAACCTACAGACCACGCATTACCGGAAAAAATTTCCACCATCCTTAACAATATTTTAGCTTCGGGACTGAACGAGCAGGCATTAGCCAAACGGAAAGAAAGTGTGAAAAGACCAGAAAACTGCAACCTCTTACGTGTTACTAAAGTGAACCCCGAGATTTGGGACATCGCAAGGAAACCAACGCGTAGCATGGATGCCAGGCTGCAAAAATTGCAAGAGGCCTTAATAAAAGGCCTCATTCCAATATCCCGATTTGCTGGGATAGTTGGTGAATCTTTGGGTAAACACCCTAAAGTACCTGTGCTACCTCCAGAGGAACTCTGGGAAGGGTTGTCAACCTCTGTCCTCCTTATTGCATCAGCCAATCATGATTTGAACATGTGTCGTAGAGACTTGTTCAAAGCAGACCTTGATGAAAATTACAAGGCAATCTGCAGCAGCAAAGAACCTGTTGCAGCCGAGTTGTTCGGTGATGATTTGACTGAACGGCTAAAGACGGTGAAAGAAAGTAAAAAGGCTGCCCAGCAGTTGACAAGCCAGAAGCGGAAACACACATTTGCTCCTCGCCCAGGCACCTCAAATACCTCCAATGCTCATTTTTTATTCCAACGACGGGGCGGCCAGTCTCAGGGCCGACCCCGGGGAAAATTTCAGCACCGGAGACGAACAGACACATTCAGGACAGGGGGAAATCTGTGACACAGAAATAAACCCCACCAATCAAAGTGTAAGTACTAATTATTATAGTAAGCAAAATTTGCCCAGTTCTCTACCTCAGACAAAGGGGGGCTGTTCAGTTGCAGGCCGCATACAACATTTCGTAGAGAAATGGAAAGAGCTTACTAGTGATCCTGTAATTCTCTCTGCTGTTACTGGGTACCTGATAGAGTTTATGGTCAACCCGGTACAGCTTGTAATACCTAAACCTATTAAAATGAGCACACAAGAGACCGAACAGGTTGATTCGCAAATACACAAATTCCTAAAAAAGGGCTTTATCATTGAAAGCTCTCATGAACAGGGGGAATTCATATCTAATATCTTTCTTCGACCAAAGAAAGATGGGTCGTTTCGAATGATATTGAACCTTAGAGAGCTTAACAAATTTGTGATGCATCACCATTTTAAAATGGAGTCCATCCATACATGCACCCAACTCATGCGTCCTGGGTGTTACATGGCATCTATCGACCTGAAGGATGCTTATTACTTAGTACCTGTTGCTAAGCAACATCAAAAATTCCTCAAGTTTACATGGAAGGGGAGACTATATCAATTCACCTGTTTGGCCCAAGGATTGTCATCAGCCCCACGCCTGTTTACAAAGCTTATGAAACCTGTTTTCTCCCATCTTAGGGGGAAGGGGCACATTTCAAGTGGTTACATTGATGATTCCTTCTTAGTAGGGTATTCTAATTCAGAATGTCAACTGAATGTCGATGACACCTTGCAGTGTTTTCATGAATTGGGATTCCTAACCCATGATGATAAATCTGTGATCACACCAACACAAATCATTCAACACCTAGGGTTTGTGTTGAATTCAATTGAGATGACAATATCTATTTCGGAAGAAAAACACAATAAACTATGTGGGGTTATTATTTCTGTTCTTAAACAAAACATGTGTAGTATAAGAGCAGTGGCACAGATGATTGGCATGATGGTAGCATGCTGCCCAGGGGTGGAATATGGGACATTGTTTTATCGTCAAATTGATAGGGAAAAGACAGCTGCACTTAAAGTAAACCAAGGCGACTTTGATAAGCACATGACCCTCTCCCCTAAAGCACACCAAGATATGTTATGGTGGGTAGAAAATGCACGCTTGTTCACAAAGCGGCTGGATCATGGGAAAATTGGCTATGTGCTTTACACTGATGCCTCCACCAAAGGATGGGGGGCTAACATGGCTAATGTAACTACAGGGGGTGAATGGTCTACAGTAGAGAAAGACCACCATATAAATTACCTAGAATTACGAGCTGTTCTGTTTGGTCTGCAATCACTTTGTAGGGAAATATCAAATGCCCATGTCAAAGTCATGACAGATAATACAACTGCTGTTGCCTACATTAACAATATGGGGGGCTCTCGCTCTTTTTTATGCAATGACATGGCCAGAGAAGTATGGGCATGGTGCATGACCAGGAATATTTGGCTCACTGCCAGCCATATTCCTGGGAAACTTAATGTTGTTGCCGACAAGGCCTCCAGGGTGTTTGATGATTCTACAGAATGGAAACTGGATGCTAACATATTTCCAAAGCTAACAGCACACTTTGGTACCCCTGAAGTGGACATGTTTGCTTCCAGACTTAACTACCAAATGACACCATTCGTTTCATGGCATCCTGACCCTCAAGCATGGGCTATTGATGCCTTTACTTTGGACTGGAATAATATATTCTTTTATGCCTTTCCACCTTTCAGCATTATACCACAAGTATTGCAAAAACTGGATACAGCTCAGACACAAGCAATCCTAATTGTGCCAAATTGGCCAACCCAGCCATGGTACCCTATGTTGACAAGGTTGTTGATCCAACAACCAATCCTTCTACCGAAACACAAGAGCAATGTGTCTCTTCCTTTCAAGCAAGAAAAAGAACACC